TAAGATTTCATGCTTTATTTCAGGAATAGCTATTTAGAGGTTGGTGTTGTTCTATTTCCAATATTGCATCGCTGTACGAAAAAAATGATGGAAGTCATGCTTTCAGTTAAACTTAGTATTAAAATCCTTAACTGATGTGGATTCTAAGAAATGAGATAGTCGCATTTTTTTTTCAATTTCCTTCATGGGGAGCCAACTAACGATTTTTTAAAGTGATTTTAATCAACTGAAATTATATAAATTATTTACTGGCATTAGTACTGATAAATTAGCACTGGCATAATTTTTACATGTATAGATTTAATTTCATTTTTACTTATTCCCTGCACGGAATTTTTATAAGTATAAACCTATCAACCTTTTGTTAGACAGGCCATATGAAAACAATGATTAAAGAAATAAAATATTTTTTTGCTGCAGTATTTACTTAGTAAGTAGCCCATTAGTTTGCAGTCTGGTAAAACGATTATGTGAAATAATTTATTATTGATTTTAGATTTACGTTGCCAAAATAAAAATAAATATTTAATTAAGTGGTTTATAAACCATTAGCAAAGAAAAAAGTCTGCAATTTTTAATAAATGTTCAATAGAATGGAGAGAGAGGAACTGAGTATAATCAGTAAACCTATTTTTTTATTATTATTTCTCAAACCCCACAAGATTTGTATCGATGCAGCTACATTCGAAACAACTCAAATACATTTGCAACCTAATTTTCCAAAACCTTCATTAAAACCTCATTAATCATTCTTACATCAACTTTAATTCCCCTTTAATTCATTTGAAATTAATTAAGCCGATACTCTCTAGGAGAAATTACAGAATTATTAAATAAACGTTAAAGTTTTATTTTACATATCCGAATACTTAGTAAAACCAATACAACATTTACACCGCTTAGAAAACGGTATTTTCTATCACTCTTTTAAGAAACCTCCTATCTAATTTGTTTGTTAGAAATGCTATTTTCTCTAATAAATCAAAATTCTTTTATATCAGTTCGATACTCGTTACATTTACCACAAGTGGAAAGGAGCTGACGCATAATAAATCACGAGAAGATTTTATTCAGAAATATAGAACGTTTGAAAAATTATGAAATTAGGGCCCAATCATAAAGTAAAACAAAATGACAATTTGACTAATGGATATAAGAAAAGGAGGAGAAAAATGAGGAAGGGTGCTAAACACGCTTGAATATTCAGCTCTTGAGTTAGAAGTAAGATTGTAATTTATTGTTATCCTTTAGTACTTGATGTCCTAAGGTATGATGGAGTTTGTTCGAAGACAAACCGTTCTCGTTTATAGGACTCTCAGTTTCCCAAAATTTGTCAAAATCTGTTGAGAGTGGGAAAGTTTTCATGACGTTTACAGGACATCATTTATTAAAAGCACTCTTGTCATATTATAAATTTTAATGTGTCAATAATGTTGAATCGTGCTGTTGACAGTTCTGCATTGAATAAAATGAATTATTTATATATGTTACCGTTAAAGTGCATTCTTCAGTTATTTCCTAGAATTACTAGGTATTTCATGAAATAATTAGTCAAGCCAGATAAAGTATATAATAGATGAAAAATTCTATACTTTATCCAGTTATTCTATGAAATAACTAATAATGGAGCATTAAAGTGAAAAATAAACAATTTCAAAGTTATTTTATAAATTAAGTGATCATAAATAGATAAAACCTTTCGAAAAATACATTTTATCCCTATTGCGGATGATTAATTGATACATAATAAGGAAAAGCAGATGATATAATTTATTATTGCTCATATTGCTAGCATTAGTTAAACATAAAGGGAAAAAAGAAAATGTTGCAGAAATAGTTATATCAAAATATTACTAAAAAAATACATGCTGGGAATAAAAACTGCTGGGTTTTTAAAACACTGTGTAAACTTTTCGAAACGAAATATTAATTTAAATTTTATGAAATACCTTTATTTTACACTTTTCATTACTTATTATTAGAACTAGCATTGCGGTGATGACACTGAATTGCATTGCATATAATTTTTGAAACAAGCACACTTTTTACTATTGCACATTTTTTACAATAGCCAACAACTATAAGTGGTTCAAACTTGACTAAGAGCAGCTAAAACCGGTTCCAAGAACTTTAGAATGACGTAGTTCATACTTTAACGATCCAAGTAATCGTTATTCTATAGAATACTTAGTTAAATAGAAGAATTTGATACGTTTAAATAATTTAACTGACTTGTCTAGTTATTATATGAAATACCTAGTTATTCTATGAAATAACGGATTTCATACTTTAACGGTAGCATATCGAATATAGTCATTAAAGGTGAATTAATAGAACGAAATATACATATATATTAAGAATGAAAAACAAACTTTGGCTACTGAAAAGTCTAAACTGACTTTTATAGAAATCTATCAATTACATTAAGGACATGAATATATTTTAATAAATAGAGGATATTTACACTTAGAATATAATTAGGTACAACATTGTCTATGTTTTTATTAAATATAAGAATAAAAACAATAAAATTACTCTAATTCATTTTAATCATTGTAAAACCGATCTTTTTAAAACTTTTTTTTTTTAAATTTTTTTAAAATTTTTTTCCCAAATTTTTTTTTTTTTTTTTTTTTAATTTAAATCTTTAATATAAGTTAGCATAAGTAATTTGGTTTCTTTACTCTTGTTCATTAAAATTCTTATCAAAAAAGTTCTTGTATAGATTAATATATATGCTTGATTATATGCGGATGCAACTTTTCTTTCTCTTCTCTTTATTGGGCGAATAAAATGATACTTAAATCTCTTTTAAGTTAATAATGAATATCATGTGAATAAAATCGTTCATAAATTATTCTAAAATTAGTATCACTTTCAGTTTTACTTCTTAACCACGTACAAATACACTAATAGCCTCATTTAGCTAAATTCCATGATGCGCTAGAAGATTTAGCTCGACCTTTAGGTACATACAGAATTGCATAAGAAAATTTATATCAAAATTTACTTGCTTTTAAAATGTGACGTAAAAGTTTAGTATAGGATTAATTGTAATCAACGTCAACTGTACTGCCGATACTAATTGTGTGGTTTTAGTAGAATAATATAATTAAACACAAACTTGTAAATAGGGTAAAATGTAAAAAAGTTCACTTAATTGTAATTGTAATTCATGTAGTGTTTTTAATGTACAGTAAGAGTAACAACGGCATTGTTTTACATTTTTATATCAAATGTTTGTTATAAATATCTGTTTGTACAAAGTTATTGTTAAATTATTATGAGTTTATTTTATATCTTAACTGTTCACACATGCAAAAAAATTTCATTTGTGTTAAATTTTAAAAGATGTAGCTAATTTAGAGGGTTTTAGAAAAGAGCCGCATATTCTTTTCATCTGACTTCTCTTGCTGTATTTGGAAATTGTTTCAAATATATTGTCAATTTAAATATTAAGATTTACTCTTTGTTCAGTAAGAATTAAATTTAAAAAAAAACTTAAAGAAAAATATATCAAAAAATTTCGAAGAATTTTATCAAACTTAAACTATAAAATGTTATGAAATAAACTTAAGAAACGACCTGTTTGACTCTTCGTAAATTTAATTTTTCTGTTTTCCTGTGATGTTTCAAAGGCATTTTTGTGGAATTTTTCATATTTCTGAGTTACGTTAATCTAATACTTGAGATCCTCATGGTTCAATTGCTTAATACATGTTCCTGAACAACTAAATATAAGAAAAATAATCAGATGCCACTGTTTTGTAAAAAAGTTTATTTTCTTCGAAGACAAATCAACTTATAAATCATGATTACTTTCAACTGCGATATAATTATTTTTATTATTCAGATAAAGTTCTAAATACAGTTTTAATAATCAAACTTTTTTATGTTCTGCACTCTTTTGATAACTCTTTTCAGGTTTAGTTTAAAAAATTACTTTTTTATATAATTTTAGAACTCAATTTCCTTTAAATAAAATAAATTTGGTAAAATTTCATTTTAAGGCAATGCGAAAGAGTTCTAAAGTATTCGAAATTAAATATTTCTCTGTATAACACGAATACCAGTTTATGAGGCTCTAAAGAAATTTCCAGAAAAGTTTCAGGTAATTTTATTCCCAACATTAAACAAACAATGATGTTTTTAATATTTTCCTGCGTTAAATCTATTTTTAATACCTTTTATTTATTTTTTTAAAAAAATATTACTTTAAGATATCAATTTTTATAGTGAATAACAGTCTCTTTAACACTAGAAAGACTGAAACTTAGTATATGCCTGTATTTCTCCAAAGCAGTCAAAATGACTGCATTATGAAGGAATGATTAATGTGTAAAAAAAATTGCTTAAAATTAACTTTTAATATTTTTCATATTATTTACAGTCATGTAACAAGTTATTAGTAAATATTAACAATAAAAAAAGGTTTACTTCACTTGGAAAAAAATATATTCTAAAAAATTCTAAGAAATTGTACATTATGTAATTGTTAATTGAAATTAAAAAGTAATCAAAATGACTTATTTGGAAAATCTAGTGGTAAAAATTTTTAAGTGGAAAAACCAATTACAAGCGCTAAAATAGAAAAGAAAAAGCTTATGCTGTTGGTTTAAATTAAAATGCATTAATTTTTGCAATATTTCTGATATTTTGTAGTATTTTAATTAAAGAATAGTGTGTGAGATTTATATATTTGATGTCACTTCTAATGAAATTAATCAACAAACGTTTACGCAGTAAGTCTCATGAACCCTTAAATCAAAGTATAAAAAAA